CAACACTTCCTCTCCCATTTCCTTTCTGTTCTCTACCTGGGGCTGCTAGAGAAGAGAGGGAGGTGGAAGGCACCAGCAGAGCTTCTCATATTTCTCACCTACAGTGGGGCCCTATCATAGCCTTTTTCCTAGCTCCTCTAACATAATGTGACGGCTAGGATCAAATTCTCCCTTCCAAAGGGCTGCAAGAAATGGCTTGCCCAAACTCAGTCAATACAGAACATGGAGTCCTCCATCTAATCTTTGCTTTTGGACTCTTTTCACTAAAGTTCAGTTAAAGAATGCAATTGCAGTGAACTGGTCTCGACTTCAGCTGGCTGTCACTTTACAGCAGTAGAAACTGCCTCCAGCTATAAATAACGCAACATCTAAATAACAGTGGCTTCAACAAATCCCTTTTCCCTTCCAAATTCCACCTTGGAAGAAATTCAGGGTGAGTCAATCTAGGCTTTTATAGCATTCCCCACAATGCATTTAGGACCCAGCTTCCTTCAACTGTCTGATCCACCAGTATGTAGTACTTTAGAAAGTATGCTACTTACACACTCTTGTTATCCTATGGTTGCAAGATTACTGCTCCACATTCCATAAGATGTTCCAGAAAGAAGAAAAAGGAAGAGGAGGAAGTAAAAAAGGGGAGAAGAAAGCAATGTGGGGAAAGAGGTGGTACCTGTAATTGTTTTATTTTTATTTCAGAATATTACAGGAGTCCAAATGTTTCAGTTACATAAATTGCTTTTGTACCATTTGAGTCAGAGTTATAAGTGTGCCCATTAGGTGTGAATTTATCCATACCTGCCTCCCCCCTTCCACTTGCTTGCTTTCCGATGTTATTTCCGTATGTGCACTTAAGCATTGATTGATTAGTTCCACATTATTGGTGAGTAGATGTGGTGTCTGTTTTTCCATTCTTGTGATACTTCACTTAGAAGAATGGTCTCCAGTTGCATCCACGTTGGTACCTATAATTGGAAAGAAAAAAATTCTCAGAAAGTTCCAGTAGACCTCTATTTATCTTTTATTGGCCGGAATTATGACACATGGTGCTCCTTGCTGCAAAGGAAGCTGAGAAATGTGTTTTAAAAAGCTGAGTATGTTATCAGTCCAATTAAAATTGGGCTTCATTTATGTTAGGTAGTAATAGGTTTTGGGCGGGCAACCAACCACCTCACATTCATTCAATAAATACAATCTTTGTTAAACTCGAATCTGATCGTGTCTATCCCTTGCTTAAAATTCTTTATTGGGTTCATGATTCTTATGGGCATCTCCATTTCTTTATATTGAAACACTTGGCATGGTATTGAAGACTCTAGTGAATTCCCTGCCTAACCCTCCCAGCCTCGGCTCATCCTTCTTTGGCATTCCACATCAGGTCCCCCACCACCACCTGCTGTCCCCAGGATAGCAGTCGAAGCATTGTTCACCTCTACCATTGCATAAATGCCCCTTTCTCTACCTGGACCATCTCCCTGGCATATCCCCCACACCATTCATTTAACACCCTTTTCAATGGTCCAGCTTTTCCAATGCCAACCATTCCTCAGGCAGCCAGTCCCTCCTTCCCCCACATTTCTAAACTATCTTACTATATTGTCTTGTAAATTGCTTGGGTCAACCCCAAACGTAGTCAACATAGACAATTTGTCATTGGTACATGCCATCAGCTTTGGCATCACAGTTTTCAGTAGGTACTGGGCTAGACAAGAGTGGGTAAGAATTCTTCCTCTTCTAATGAAACACATTTTTTATTGAGACTCAACATTATTTTAGAGATAGTTGAATCTGAATTCCAGACTCTCAATTGTGAATATCTTGGCTAGGCTGAAGTATCTATTAATAGAAATTTTAAAACTGCAATAAAAGCATGCCAGATGCATGGTTGAATATTATAATCTGCATTTTACAAATAAGGAAACTAAGGCACAAAGGTTGAAGTAACTTGCCAAGATCACACTATTAATAAGGGGGCCATTTGCTATTTTAATCCATGACCTACAGTCACGACCATAGTATATACACTCCCTCCCTTTTGTATATCCGAGAGCACAATTAAGTTATTACTCCTATTCATGGTTGGTGTTGGTGTAAATTAATGCCCTTTTGAAAGCTAATTGCACCTCTGAGAATTTATTTTAACGAAATTATCCAAAAGCAGAGTATCTGGGGAAACCACAGGCAAAAAGATATTGACTGCATCATTATTTACACTGTTTCAAAATTTTAAAAAACCTGAATGTTCAATAACATGCAGGAGTTATAAATTATAGTTATGCATTGCCATTTGATACATTAAATGGCTCTGAACAATTTTAGTTTTGAAGACTCTATAGCAACATGGAAAATATTTATACTATTAAATGAAAAAAAGCATGTTATAAAATTGTTGACCATGATTAGAGCCATGTAAAAAGTGACCAGGAATGAACATGGCAGAAAACATCCTTGGATGTGAATGTGGGAGGTATAGGAAAGTGATTTTATTTTGATGTCTCCTTTAATATTGTCACATTACTTAATATTACACATACTTTTAAAAATAAATTCTGAAGGCAAATGCTTTTCCAATCCTTAAAGCTCCACCTTTTGGCACATTTGTACAAGCAAAAGGAAGTGAGGGATGCTTTTGGTTTACTAAGCTTATTCCTCCGAGAGCTGTGCTATAACGGTGGGCCAATAGTGGATAAATAAGGATAGCTGCAAGGGAAGAACATATCCTATAGTAATTTTTTGTTAAGCTTAGGGCTAAGACTCACCAAACGTGTGTGCATAACCAATGTCTTATCTGCCTCCTTAAATCAAATGTGGACTTTTGGATGGACAGAAAAAAACGCATATGCCATCAAGACCGTGTTTCCCCAGGGTTGCCAGCATCAGTGCAGAGGTGTAGTCCAAGCCAAGGGGCCCAGCAAGCCCCAACTACTACCGTCAGTGGTAGTCCCTTCTCCAGACATTGCATCCTCACTGTTCATGAGCTGTCAGAAGACACCTCCTCTGTCTGCCCTGTTTGCTGCTATCCAGTGGCTAGCACCAAATATTTGCCCAAAAATATTGGTTAAATGCATGGGCAATGGCACCAGCTGCCTCTATTCCAAAAACAAGAGTTTCTGTCTCCCCTATTGTTTCCAAAGGAACATTTCTTCAGTTCCTGATTGAGGTAGAGGCTGCTAGCTTACATGTTCTTCCTGGGCACATGGGTAGACTAGACCACACACTTCCCAGCCCCCTAGTGGGTAGGTGTAGCTGTGTGACCAGGTCTAGCCCATGAAATGAGGCTGAAAGTGATATTTGCCACTTCCTGGATGAGGCATTTCAGTGGGTAGAACGCTCCAAGCTCTCAGCAATTGCGCCCCGAGACTCACGTGTTGAGATGGCAGCCTCATCAGCTGGAGGAGCGTGGACTCCAGAGTCTCCAGGTGAAAGGCACCCCACAGACTCCCACTGGCAATTTGTGTAACAACCAAACCTTTCTTGTGCTAAGCCAGGCATTTCAGGATTTGTCGTTACAGTCCCTACCATGACTAATGTATCAATATATTTCATTTCTTGTACATAAAAAAAAGTGAGAATATGGATTAGCCATGAACTCAATAAAAACATTGCTCATAAAATATTTGATGGAGGCCATGAGAGAAGAAAAGCAATGTTTTACAGTGGAGAAGTCCATCAAGTTACATTCTCTCCTTTATAGAAAACACAGGAGAGGCTGGGCGCGGTGGCTCACTCCTGTAATGCTAGCACTCTGGGAGGCCGAGGTGGGCGGATCGCCCGAGGTCAGGAGTTTGAAACCAGCCTGAACAAGAGCGAGACCCCATCTCTACTATAAATAGAAAGAAATTAATTGGCCAACTAAAAATATATAGAAAAAATTAGCCGGGCATGGTGGCACATGCCTGTAGTCCCAGCTACTCGGGAGGCTGAGGAAGAAGGATTGCTTAAGCCAAAGAGTGTGAGGTTGCTGTGAGCTAGGCTGACACTATGGCACTCAAGCCTAGGCAACAAAGTGAGACTCTGTCTCAAAAAAACAAAACAAAACAAAACAAAAAACAGGAGAAACTTCTCAACCTTCAAGATTGAGTGTCTCCTGAATATTTAATAATAAAACATTACTAAGAATGCAATTCTTACTGATTGATCCTTTTTTGTTTGTTGGCCTTGCCCATCAGGTAAGCTCAGAGCCAAACATGTGGCTTATGCATAGCCCCATGGAATGCATTTTTGTCAACTTCTACTGTCATCAGTTTGCTGCTCAAGCCTCATTTTCCCTTTGGCTCCCAATATCTCTAACTTTGTTTCGTTTAATTGTGTTTTATACACTCTTGTAAACCTCTTAACAACATTCCTCTGGTGAAGAGGATAAAGAGGAGGATGAGCGAGAACCAAGAATGAACTCTGAACAAATGATCCACGAGCCATTCTTCTAACACTGGAAGAGACAGTGTAAGTCAGCTCTGAATTTAACAGTGAATGCTGTTGATTTTAATTTACTTTTCTTCTAGGTCTCATGACTATTAATATTTCCTTTATCACAGGATAGCTCAAAGAATCTGTGAACGGTGGCAACTGTTGGTGCAGGTCACACAGTAAGATGGCGTGGCCTTCATGAGGCAAGAGGACAACACTGTGAAATGGATCCTCTCCCCATTGGAGGCTGTGACTTGCAGTTAGTTTAAAATGACTGTGCTCAGGGATCAGGGTCACCAGATGATGTTTAGTCACTGGTACTTCCTCCTTCTGAAGCTTTATACATCACTTTAAGTCACGTTCTCAATTGAAAGCATCCCCTCCCTAAAACTCCCCCAGGTGGTGATGAATACCTGATGCAGAAATACTAACATTTAAAAGTCCCAACTCACACCTCGCCTTAATTTTACCTTGGCTTTCCATACCTGTGTAAATTCAATGGCTTGGAATATCTCTCCTGTACATGCACTGAAAGGTAGTGCTAAGTTATTTTTAGATTTAGTATCTGTAAATGATTTACAACAGATGCACATAGACACATGTGAAAAAAATTCTTTATTAATTTCTCACATTTCATTACAAAATGTATGTTGCAAACAACTTGAATAACCTACTTGTGGTTTTGTTTGTTTGTTTTTGTTTTTAAACCCTTGGCTTCAAGGACTCAGGATCTCCCTATCTTTTATCAAGTATCGGGAAACACTGATTATTGGAGTCAATAGGTTCTCATTTTGCTATTTATTTTCTTCTCTCAAGCTCTGAAAAAAAATGTCCTCTGTATAAATTAAACAACAACAAAAAATGTTGTAAATTCTATGTCATTACAGTCAACAGAATTATAATAATGCATCCAAAATGTGCGGCCACAAAATATCAGGTATATGTTTGAAAAAGAAAAAAAAAATGACATTTTAGCCTTGTTAAAAGGATAATGGTCCCATATTTTTATTAACAGGTTAGCAAAACAAAATCCAATGGATTACAATATTTACATGTTATTTGAAAAATAAAGTAGTGATAAAAGCATGTCACAATTATTTTCTTTTTTTTTTTTCCTTTTTCTTTCTTTTTTTTTTTTCTTTTTTTTTTTGTTTGTTTTTTGGTAACCATTACAAACACCCAATCCAGGTATGGAACTGTTTAATACAATTGAAATGAGGCCAATTAAAAACAAATATCGACACAAAATGAATCTTTGTCTGGATAGTTCACACTTTCCCCATTTTCTGGTTTCCACATGATGGCCCCCATCCCTAAAAAAAAAAATTAAATTAAAACAAACATCCTACAAATAAAAATTCTTAACAGTAAGAAAATAAAAGAAGAACATGCTTTTCAAGTAAGCACTTATTCCACAAATGCAACATCTTTCCATGGATTTTATTTGAAGCTGTGTGGGACACTGTCATCTCAGCAATTCCCCTTCCCTTTCTTCCCTCCCGCCCTCCCGCAACCCTTCCAAGTAAAAAAACCAAAACATGAAAACCAAAGGACTCACACGTGCACACACACACGCACACACACGCACGCACACACACACACATCCGAGCGCTCACACACGCAGGCTCTTCTAAAACCTAGGCTTTAAGAAAAGTTCTTTTCTACTTTTTGGAACGAAACCGTTTGTTCACAATCAGAACATATTATAAATGTAGGCTTAGATTTAGTCTAAGCTGCTCCCTCCTGAAAAAGCTGATATGGGGGACAGAGCAGCTGGCAGCTAGATAAAAAAAACAAAAAAACAAAAAAAAGTAGTTCTCCAGGCTCCTTGTAGGATAGACATTATTTCTTGTCCACACTCACCAAAGGGATGGGATTCTAGTACATCCCCATGTCCCCCCAAATAATGAGATAACCCCCACAAATACAATGCCAACAGAAACAAAACACAGATTTTAAAAACACACACAAATGCCAGCCCATCCTAACAGAAATTATTTGTGTGAGACGGATAATGTGTGAATTTGACAGGCAACAAAAGGGTGAAGAGGACCTCCTCGTCTGGCCCACAAGCTGCATAGCTGTGCCGAAAGTTTGGTTCTTTAGTTAAATAAAAAAAAAAGTTAACTTCTTTGTTATTTCCATGTTTAAAATAAAAACATTCCTATTCACAAAACAAAAAACTAAATCTCCCTCACCCCCAAATTAAAACGACAATAAGAACACACACACAAAAAACCAATTTATATGAAAAACTGAATTGTGCTGTGTTTGTAACACTCAAATTGATAGAAAATAAACATGTGGCAAACAAAACTCCACGATCACCTTAAAATTAGCTCACATGGATCTACCAAATTCTAAATTATAGTTGAACACTAATAAACAGCTTACCTGGAATAAAGGATGACAATTCACAAACAGTTATCTAATAATTAAAGTCTGTTTCTTTTTTTTGTTTTGTTTTTTACTAAAATAATTAAAAAAATCACAGTATTTTAAGAAATAAAACCCACGTGGGGATTTTAAGCACAATTTGTGTTCCTTTCTTTAAAACTCTTTTTTTTTTTCTCCATTCACCATCTTGCCCAGCAGTTCTCTCTACATTTAACCACAACGACGACAGGTAGTACTGACAAATGCAGAGAATTCCCTTGGTTAAGTTTGAGGTACTAGGAAACAGGTGACTGTTTTATGCAAAGCAGTTTGTTTTCTGTTTTTGTTTTTTTGTGTGTTTTTGTTTTTTTTTTTTTCCCAAAGCGGCTGCAGTTAGGTCTTGAAAAAGCTTAAGGTATTAAAACTAGAAAAACGCACTGAAAGTTGCGCGTCAAAAAGTTGTTCCCCTACGAGAAGTCTTCTACTGTCACGGAGCTTCTGTTTCCACATACTGTCCAAGACCACCACCGTGCCCTTGGGAGGTGCTTCCATATTCCGCAACAAATGGAACTTCCATGATGAAGATCCGGAAGAAAAGATGTAGTGATGGAAAAGGAGCCACATATTCCAACCATTTAAATAATTTTAATTTACATACTCACTCACACAGGTACCAGTGCTTTGAAAATAGATTGTTCAGTCCTAAAAAGCAGCTTTTGTTCTGTCTTCTCTTTTCTGTCCCTCCCTTCTCAGCCCAAGCCGGCCCTCCCACTTTCTCATCATGGTTCAAGTAAGGTTTGATTAAGATTTTCACCAAACGCTTATTCTTTTTTGGCCTCTGCATTCTCTAGGAGAGATTTGTCGGTAGCTACTACACAGATGGCTACTGCTTCGTTCTTTAAGGAAAAGTCCATCCCAATGGCCTCCTCGACTTCCTTTTCCTCTATGGAGGGCATCTTCACAATGTCCTCCACTATCTCTTTCGGGTGGATTTCTTCTCTGCTCACCTGCTTGGTGTCATTCAATGCCCTGGGGGAGAAAACATTTATGGAAGACACAGTTGAGTATAGAAAATATATTTTTTCTAATTAAACAAAAAAGTAAACACCCCCCCCCCCAAAGTGTCCTTTTATTTCTCTGATCCTAAAAATGCCTTGGGGTTTCCTTTAACCAAATGCCATGGAGGTACAAAGAAATTGTGAGTGATTTATCCTTCCTGTAAGTTATGTTTAGGTTATGTATTTCTCTACCTTTTTAAAGATTTGAACCTACAAAAATGTCTATTGGCCGGGCGCTGTGGCTCACGCCTGTAATCCTAGCTCTTGGGAGGCCGAGGCGGGCGGATTGCTCAAGGTCAGGAGTTCAAAACCAGCCTGAGCGAGAGCGAGACCCCGTCTCTACTATAAATAGAAACAAATTAATTGGCCAACTGATATATATATAAAAAAATTAGCCGGGCATGGTGGCGCATGCCTGTAGTCCCAGCTACTCGGGAGGCTGAGGCAGGAGGATCACTCGAGCCCAGGAGTTTGAGGTTGCTGTGAGCTAGGCTGACGCCACGGCACTCACTCTAGCCTGGGCAACAAAGCGAGACTCTGTCTCAAAAAAAAAAAAAAAAAAAAAAAAAATGTCTATTATTTACTATGTTTTGATTACATCGTGTTTTGCTTCTAGATTAACATACTAGTTTTATGACACCTCCTTTGCTGGGTCCTACGTGGTCATAGCAAGAATTGTCACACTCAAACTCCCCAGCTGAACTCAGAAGCTTGGAGATTGGCTATGTTTACTAAGACTAAAAGAGTAACTCAGGTACTCACGACTTATTGGAAAGGTCCAGAAACAAATCATGGACACAAACAAAAAGCAAAAACCTGAAGATGGAACCCATGTCTTGGGAAAGCTTAGTTATACTCTCTGAGGTCTACACACTTGAGGTTTTGGGGGCATTTTTTCCTGAAAGAAGCAAATCCTAGGTTCTTTCCGTGTCTGGTGGACTCAGGGTGACTCGTCGCGGGGACGATTTTATGTTTAATGATCTTATAAGCACTTTACAGGCGTGCTCTCACCTACCTGGGAGGCAGGCAGAAGCGGGCTGTCCCCGAGGCAGGGCATGGGAGTGTTCAAGGCCACTCAGGGAACGGTCAGTCACAGAGGCAGGAACAGAGGTCAGATCTTTTAGCCCCGGTTCAGGTTCTATCATAGAATGTCACGCTAATGAAAACTAAAGGGACGTTGGCTGGGGAAAACACTCTACTTCCTTCCACAAGTGGGCTCGGGTGGGATTTGTCATTCATAAAGATGACTTTTCCTCCTCTGACTTGAGGCTGGGTGACCATTTAAAAAAAAAAGACAACAGAAAAGGAGAAACTTGGTTCCTCACAATTACTTCTCCTCTTGTGGCCCAGAAATGTAGCCCAGAGGGGTCTGCGTGCTGTTGGGGGGACCAATAAAAAGAACCCCGATCTCACTCCCGCCCGCTCCCTCTGGGCGGAGGCCTCTGGGGCCGGCCCCACTTACATGCCGTGTCTCAGCACGTGTCTCTCCCACTCGGAGCCCTGTGAAAATGCCCGTCCACAAAATTCACACGGAAAACGCTTCTCGGCGTTAATAGCAGCCCCATGGTCAGAAAATCTCATCAGCTCTGCGGAGAGAAAGCAGAAATGTTACCTGCGTGGATCAGTCAACATTCATTAGGAAACCGTCTCTCCCACTTTCACCTGTAAAGCCGAGCGGTGGTCGAAAGCAATTTCCAGATTCCTTACTGTGTCTCGGGTTTTCCCCTGAGGGCGTTTCTTGAATAGCTCCCGGTGCTGGTGCCCCGGCCTCCCCATCTCTCCTCACCTCCCCCACACTCCCCTCACAAAAGATCTGGGCCTTTCTTGCTTGAAGAGCCCCTTCTGCCCACTCCAAAGGCATCTGAGCATTTTTTGGTTTTTTTTGCCTATTGAATCTCTGTCCCTTCTGTGACACTATCAGTGACTCACAGTTTAGCATCTACTCATTTTCTGTTTGACAAAGGTTAATCTTTGTTCACTGAAAAGAACACGGGCCACGGAAAGCACCAGACCAGGTTACGTGTTGTACACCTCGGGGTTTCTACTTGTTCCAAGGAAGGCTGAGGGCTCACGACTTGTGGTCATCCCCATGGATGTCACCGTCGTCCTCACAGGGTGGTTACGAGCTCTGAGTGAGATGTGCAAGGGAGAAACCTAGCACGACCATGAATGTGGGCAGGCAGCTGGGGCCCGCGTGTAAAAGCACCTCCCCAGCTATTGAGGGACGCTGGCCAGATGCCAGGCAGCTACTCCTCAGTCGGTGACATTCATGAATGTGGGGACAGACAGACGTTTCTGGAAGGGTCTGTAGGAAACATCAAATATTGACTTAGTTGTTTTGTTTCCTCCACGGTGTTGTGCACATGGCAGGGGTCTGATAAACGTGGATTGGCTGCCTCCTTGTTTTCAGGCCACATCTCCTGGCAAACTCAAAGACAAGAGCTTATGTGGCTTTTGTGCTGTCCCGAGTCCCAAGCCCTTATGTCTTTCATTATACCACAGAGGGCCACATCTTCACGTGGGTCATAAACAGCAGGATCTAGCCTGTCCTGCAGCCATGTCACAAAGTAAGGGCAATGCAGAGGGACATGTCGATAACATGCACATATCTGATCACTCTGGCCCCTGCGTTTGAGACATTATAGGAAGCTGCCTCCTGGTCAAAATCCCTCATCTAATAAGATCCTCAGGACAATGTTACCAGGACCGGGGGCCCTGTGACGCCTTCATCTTCAGCACAAAAAGCTATGTGAACGGGGCCAGTTTTAACAAAAGATGAAACATTTTCTCACAAATTAAGAAGATCACCACACAAGCCATTAAAAATAATTGCACAGACTATCTTCCTTGATTCTTTTCATTGGAAATGAGACAGCACCATCTGCTCTGCGCATTAATTCCTTAGCAGGGATTATCTTGGGCAAGAAATCAACAGAATGCCTTCCTGACTCCTCCCCAACTGCATAATGAGGGGGGGTGGGTGGGGAGGATTCTGCTTGGGTTAATTTTGATTTCTTCATGCCTGGTTTCTTCTCTTTCAAATTCCCTTCGATCTTCCTAGACAGGACCTGCAGCGTGTCACATTCAGCCCTCTCTCTCTCCGGCTCTCACACTTGGAACGGAGGTTGGAAATGGGGTAGTTACAAGGCTGCAAAACCCCCTAAGCGCAGGGTGTCTGATAAAGGTCTAAGTTGCCAACAAAGGGAACGTTCCTGGTACACTTGCTCCTTTACCCTTAGGAAACATGAAACCAGTCATCTATTCTTTCCAGTGGCACATGCTAAGTTCCATCCTCAAAGGAGGAGGCCACTCATCACCTGCCACACTTCAAATAAGCTCTCCAGCAGCCTGAGCCCTGCGCTAAAGCCACCTCCCGCCCTGGGCTCCTGGAAGCCAGGATGTCTGGCAAAAACACCCCGGGGCTATTGTGTGTGTTTCTTCTTCTTGGCAAGACTATACCTAGATGGTGGAAAATTGATTCTAGGTCTATTCAAAGGGGATGGGGGACAAAGAAGGCTGTTCTTTCAAGGATCCGTGAGGGGGAAGGGAAGGTTCAGGCTTTGTAATTCCCATTAACATTACTGGAAGTCACTCATGTAAAGCCCCCACCCTCTGAGAGGAGTGCCTGCTTCTCTACCCTGAGGACTTTTTCTTTTTTTCCATATGGTTAAAGCTCATGAATGTGGATGCTACACTTTCCAGTGAGAAGCAGAGACCACGAAGTTCTTTCCAGCCAAACCAAGCTGGCCTGATGCCACAGTGCCACTCGAGAAGGGGGTGGCCACAGTGGGCAGGCAGGGAAAACTTCCCTGGTGTCCCACACACATCTCAACTGCCTTTTCTTGAATTCTATTTTTTTTTTTTAAGGAGTCACAGGGAAGGGGTGAACTAAAGGGGTTTTTGCCCTTGTAATGCTTATAACCGTTAAAATCACACGTGCTCAGCTGTGGAGACCAAAAAGTCATAGTAATACCCAGTGAGGAATAATTTATTTCCTGAAGAGAAAGAGCAAGGCCACAGAGCATCAGGAAGAAAAAGGAGCCTTTCTGTCAGAAGCAGCCCATCCCAGAGAACTCTGGTAACAGGGCACAGATGTTAAGAATTCATTGTGAAGAACATATTTGTGAAATCGTTTTTTTAAAAGAAAAAAGAAAAAAAAAAAAGCGATGTTTCTCAGATCACAGCGCTGATCCTTGTTAGAAAAAGATTAATAGAGCCCCTACTAATAAAAATAATGACTTTTCAAGAAAAATCAGCCTATACGGTAAGAGTATTTTATTAGTCTATGTAGTTTTCAGGCTGACTGCAGGAGGGGGCTGGGGAGCAGTTGACAAGCTAGCACACCTTGACTGCCAGTCCCTGCTGTCTGTCTTGGTTGGGGGTTCAAAAGGCAAACTGCACCCCAATTTGCAAGCCCGTGGTCTCCTGCCCTGGCCTCATGGTGGAAGTGTAGGCGCAGGTTGGGAAAAGGAACAGGGAACACCTTGGAGGGCAACAGCCCACGAATAGGCTTCCTGAGGATTACAGACTGACCAAGAAGGAAAAACAAGATATTCTGCAAAAGTGCACCTTAGAACAAAGTGCCCAGGGTCACTGAATCCACAGATTTCGGGGCCAGGTTCCCTTTAGTGAAGAACATTCCACTGCCCACAGCACTGAGAAGTGGTATGTAATATAAGAGGTCTTGCCTTAGAGCCAGAAGACCTAAATTCAACTTTCAGTGAGTTTTTCTTTTTTTTCCCTCACGTTGGACAAGCTATTAAATATCCTAGATTTTTATTTTCTGATTTATAAAATGACAATAATACCACCTGCATTGCAAGGTGACCACTTATTAGGTGACTATTACATTCCAGGAACTGGGTTAAGATCTTGTGTGTTATCTCATTTAATTTTTTCAACCACTTATGGAACCATGCCCTGAGTAGCCAAAGCAATCTTGACCAAACAGAACAAAGTTGTAGGCCTTATACTACCTGACTTTAAAATCTACTACAAAGCCATAGTAATCAAAACAGCATGGAACTGGCATAAAAACAGACACATAGACCAATGGAACAGAATAGAAAGCCCAGAAATAAATCCATACATTTATAGTCAACTGATTTTCAACAAAGTTGCCAAGAACACACAATGGGGGAAAGGATAATCTCTTCAATAAAAGTGTTTCGGACAATTGGATATCCACATGCAGAAGAATGAAATTAGATCCTTATCTTATACCAGATACAGAAATTTACTCAAAATGGATTAAAGACTTATAAGACCTGAAACTATAAAAATACTAGAAGAAAACACATAAGAAAAAGCTCCATGACATTTGTCTGGGGAATAATATTTACAATATGAACCACAAAGCACAGGTAACAGAAAGAAAAATAGACAAATAAAATTACATCAAACCAAAAAGCTTCTGCATAGCTAAGCAAACAATCAACAAAAGGAAGAGACAACCTAAAGAATGGGTGGAAATATTTGCAAACCATATATCTGATAAAGAGTTAATATCCAAAATACATAAGGAATGCAACTTGATAGTAAGCAAACAAATAACTCAATTAAAAAATGGGCAAAGGATTTGAATAGATATTTCTCAAAAGAAGACATACAAATGTACAACAGGTATATGGAAAATAATGCTCAACATTGCTAATCATCAGGGAAATGCAAACAAAAACCACAATGAGATATCACTTCACACCTGTTAGAAAGGCTGTTATCAAAAAGAGGGAAGATAACAAGTATTGGGGAGCACGTGGAGAAAAGAGAACTCTTGCACACTGTTGATAATAATGTAAATTAATATAGCCATTATGGAAAACAGTATGGAAGTTCCTCAAAAAATTAAAACTATAACTACCATATGATCCAGCAATCCCACTTTTGAATATTCAAAGAAAATGAAATCAGTATGTCATAAAGATATTTGGACTCTCATATTCATAGCAAGATTATTCAGAATAGCCAAGATAAGGAATCAATCTAAGCATTTATCAGTGAATGGATGGATAAAGAAAAAGTGGTATATACACATAACGGAATACTATTCAGCCTGAAAAAGGAAGGAAATCCTGTCATTTGTGATAACATGGATGAACCTGGAGGACATGATGTTACGTGAAATAAGCCAGGCACAGAAAGACAAATGCTGCATGATCTCGTTTGTATGTGGAATCCAAAAAAGTGACACTCACAGAAACAGATTGTCTTGGTGGCTCCCAGGGGCTGGGGTGGGGAAATTAGGGAGATGTTGATCAAAGGACACAAAATTTCAGTTTGCTAGGAAGAATAAACTCAAGGGATCTATTGTATAACATGGTGATTATGGTTAACAATAACATGTATGCTTGAAAATGGCTGAGTAGATTTTAAGTGTTCTCACCATACACAAAAAAATAGCAAATATGTAAGGTAAAATATACATTAGTTAATTTGATTTAGCCATTCTACATGTATATGCATTCTAAAACATTGTGTTGTATGCCATAAATATATGCAATTTTTATTTGTCAATTACAAAATAATTTTTAAATAAAAGTAAATTTTAAAAAGTCCAAAAGCTAAAGATTTAAAGTAAAAAAAAAAAAATCTTTACAACAACCTTAGGAGGGAGGTGATGATATTATTATCATCATCATCATCGTTGTTGTTTTATTATTTTACAGATGATAAATGTATAAGGAGATAAAATAATTTACCTAAAGGCAGATAGATAGTAAGTAATGGCGCTGGGAGCTCAATTCAGGCAGGCTAACCATGGAGCCCTCCACATCACATGACATTAGAGAAGAAAGGTTATATAAAAACCACCAACACTGAGCCTGGCACAAAATGATGCCCAATAACAGCAACCAATGCCATTCTTCTCATCACTGGGATGATATTGACAATGTTTATTTGTCAGTAACATATCCCAACTGATATTCTTATCTGCACAGTCTGGAGATTTCCGTAATATTCTGTCTATACTGAATAACATAGAAAACCAACTCTAGATCATATAAGTGTATACGTACAACTAAATATACTTTTGAAAACCTTTTTATTTTAAAATAATTAGACTCTCAGGAAGTTGGAAAAAGAGTGCAAAAGTCCCACGAAACATTCCCCAGTGTATTCTGTAAATATGTGGTTGAATGAAAGAGGTGGTCTCTCTTGCTCCCCTCTTTACAAAGCAAAAACAGAGCACGGGGGAGATGAAGAGAAGGGCCAGCAGGGGAACAGTGAGAGGGGCCTCAAGTTCTTTGCAGCCTCCCCGACAGCCCGGTGGTCATGTCCCCACACCGACGACTTCAAATAAGCATTCAACTGGAAGTTCCTTCTCATCCCATGATAGTTCTACAGCAGGCGTCCTCAAACTACGGGCCACCGGCCACCTGTGGTCTGCCAAGGACATTTATCCGGCCCGCCTGGAGTTTTTGCCCCCCGCTGCCTGTCCTGCTTAGCAGCCGACTCGGCCCGGGCCCACAGTGCGCATGTGTGGAATGTGCGCCGCACTCTCCAACGGTCTGAGGGACAGTGAACTGGCCCGGTTTAAAAAGTTTAAGGACCCCTGCTCTACAGTGTCATCCATCTTGCTGTCTGCCTGTCCTTATTGTGAAGATTCCCCAGATACCAGCTTCCCTTATGAAAAACAAATCATTGCCATATATTTTTTCAACAATCAGATATCTCTAATTAGGGGGAAAATGTCTGTGTTCCTTCTCGTTTCCATAGCGGGTCGTAGTTTACAGAGACACGGCCCCCTAACGTGTTTCTTAGGTCAGTCTGTTGTGTTACTTAACTAAGAAGGATCATCCCTTCTGTCACTCCTACAGCCACCTCCTGCCTCCCCCCTCTGTCTCACCATGGACGTGCCCAACGCCAGCTGGGACTAAGAGGGCAGGAGGGGACTAACCTCTGTCTTCGGCCTTGCTGTTCATTTCTTCGTCCTTGTCCTCGTCATCGCTGCTGGAGCTCTCCATCTTTTCCTTCATCTGTTCCAGCTGATCCAAGTTCACCCGTCCAACCAGCTCAAAGTTACGGCTTACCTGGAAAAGGCCCAAACAAATGATGGAATAATGGACCGCAGGCTAAAAAGGGGTTCTTCTCCCTGATGGAGAGACCTTTCTAACATCCTTTTCCCACGACTGTGTTTTTGGAAACAGGATCAAACAACCCAGGGGCCTAAGAGATCTTCTTCCTGTTCAACTATTCTCACTGAACTGCCAACACTGGACCAAACTTGTTAAGAAACATGATCTACAGTAAACAGGGAGCAGAAAGCATCCTGGAGCCTACGTAGGGGGTGGAGTAGTCTAGCAACCATTTTTTAAGTTGAATTCAAAGGTGCAGCTTCCATAAACTATCCAAATTGCAAACACTGTTGGAATAGAACAGGTTCGGCAGCCATCCTGGCCACCAGCAGTGACAGCCGTGACCTTTTTGCCACGATTCTGTCAAAGGAGGTGTTGTGGGCTGTCCAGCTCGGGCCAGATGACAACTATTCCATTCTTAACTCTAGTTTAAACGGAAGACAATATTACTGCTGTTAGTGTTACTACTGATTTTGAAGCTGACCACAGCTTTATTCATCAAGGCTGGGATTATCTGAGAAAAATCTAGATGACTAACCCCTAAAAGCCCTTTAAAAGTGTTTTATTTATATAAAATTGTGGTTAGAATAATGTGGGAATCCAAGCTTTCCTCAAAATGTCATTCAAGGGAAACAAAAATGTACACTAAAAGTCTTTAAAGATTTTATCTTCTGGGTTCTGAGATCAACGATAGCACAGCATTTGCCTTCTTCATTAATCTAGTTTCAGAGCCTCGGCTGTTGGATGCATAGAATTTTCAGGAATAACAAGTTGGTGGAGAACTCAAGCCAACAAACAGCCATGGGCTACTCCACTGTGCTACTCCACTGTGCTCCCCTCACTGAGGCTGAGGGAGGAGGCACACAGACATGAATGAGGCCGGGTTCTGGCTTGCAGAGGCTCACAGTTTAGTTGAAGAGGGAAGACAGACAACATTAATGAGATTCCATGGCAGGTGTCCATAGCTACCGCAGTGGAGGTAGATTGTAATAAGGGCAATGAGGGCGCAGGAGGGGAAAGAGAGAATTTACAAGACAATTGTAAAATATTCTCCAGGACCAAACTGGAACAAAGATTTGCTGAGCACCAACTATTCCATATGCCTGGCAGATGGGAACATCATCGACAGTGACAAATGGGAGAGAGATTTAGAGTACCAGCTCTGATAGACAGTCCTGTCGAAAGGCTAACTATTGTCCCAACCGTGTCATGTAGAAGACAGGTAGCATCTAAAAGGAGGAAGGAAACTTGAGGCAAGAGAAACAATACATTGATCTATAATAATTAAATCCATGAAATCAGTTGTCTTGGAAAACAATTCAGTGTGAAGGTGGACAAGATGTCTTCATCAATCCCAATGCTAAACACTCAGAGAAGGCAGCTTCTCATTCTGCTAATTAAAAAAAGTTTTAAAAATTAATAAGACTAAGGTCAGAAGGAGGAGGAGGAAGAAATCAAGTTTAGAATCTTAATTTCTCTCTTTCTCTCTAAATTCACAGTAACGGTGTCTAAGGATTTTTGTTTGCAGCACCTTCCTGATAGGGATTTAGCATTTATATTTATTTATTTTTATGACTTAAGAGCAAACAGGGACAGCAGCAGGAGCAGGAGCTTTTAAGTCAGACAGACCTGAGTTCAAGTTCAGGGTTTGCCATTGGCCACTAGACTCTGGGTGAGTCGCTCAACATATATGGCCTCAACTGTCCCTCCGCATTGGTTAAAGAAGGTCAGCAGGGTGCCTGAAGGAAAACAGTCTCCCCTAAATGTGAGCGCCTTCCCCTTTCTGGGAATGTGGGCCTTTTCCGGATTTGGCTCTTGGAAATGCTTACGACAAGCATTGTGAATGCATATTTACAAAGTTATGTTTGGCCACAAAGCCTACATTTTAGCCAAATAGCATTTATGACAAATATTTGAATAGAAGTTTTCTGGCTTGTTAATTTTTCAGGAAAAGTGGGCAAGGTTCCAATTTGCCTCATTTCAAAATGTGTTTGAAGAAAACTATTTTTAAATGACTAGCACATACAAGGCAGCCTTGCCTGGACCACTTTCTCCCCCACCTCCACCCCCCGCAATCAGGGCGACTGTAAGTGTGAGTAAGGCCCATGAGGGGCAGTGCAGCAACCAGGAAACAAAAGCAATGACACCAAGGAAGCCAAAAGGAATCTTCAAACATCTGCTTTAGTCCAGTTGCCTTCCCTCCCTCCTTCCTTCCCTTTTCCTCCCTCCCACCCAGAAGGACTTCCTCGGGGCTCGCCGAGCCAGGCCCCGGGGTCTGCATGGAGCCCCCGCTTCCCATGGAACTCGCGATGACAGAAGGGGATCTGTCACCAAACCAAATGTTATTTTTTTCTCCTCCTTCTGCGTTTTTTTTTTTTTTTTTTTTTTGGAGGACTGTATTTGTCCATTTTCCCAGCACCATCATCCCTTTCCTGGAAAACTGTTAACATTTTATATTCTGCACCATTTTAAAATAGTACATGACATTTTCACAGTGTGATGTTCATCCCGGGCTAACCCTGGGTTTATTCATCTTGAAGATTTCTAAAATCTTTGCTAGGCAATTAAAAGATTTGAAAGCGAAAAACTACAATTTTTTGCTATGTAATTAGATTTTAAAATAAAAAACTCTTTATCATGTTGGGTGATTACTGTATTTGAAATCCCCAAAGCAGCCATCCAAATATTAATCCTAACACAAAAGGAAGGCTCCTTTCTGCATTCCTGAGCCCATTATCATCTTTTACCTGGATTACTGCAAGCCCCCTCCCCCCTCCCTCATTGGTCTCCCAGAGCCCACTCTCTTGTCCCTTCTTGTATCTAATTCTCCAGTGGGGTCAAAGCGATCTTTAAAAAAAAAAAAAAAGTAAATCCCTTCATGTCAGTCTCTGCTTGCCCCGAGGATAAAATACAAATTTCTTACTGTAGTTTACATGGCCAGCTACCAATTCTGGCCCACCTTCTCCAGGCTTCCTCTTTCTTGCTCCGTCACCCTGGAATGAGGTCCCCGTGGAGTGTTGTGCCCTCGAGTACTCTGTGCCTCTGCATGTGACGTCTTGTCTGCCTGATGAACTCTCCCAAGCATGTCCCCATCCCGTGTTCACTCCTCCACCTTCCAGCCCCGCCTGACCCTTCCCTGAACTCCTCCTGCAGTTCCAACCCGGCTCTCTGCTTTCCGAGCGCCCTGCTCTCCCCTTTGAGAACACGCCCCTCTCAGCCACGAACTGTGGACAGCCTGCCTCGCTCTCCCCACCCGACTGCGAGCCCTGAGGGCGGGCTGTCCGTGCACCTCACTCACAGCTAAGCCTCCACTCGCCAGCACAGTGTCTAGACTACAGTGCGCGCTGTTCTCACCTCCTGACTACTGGAAACTTGCCTTTGAATTTAAAATATTTTTCTTTCATATAAATGTTCACAAAGAAAATTTGGGAAATAGAAGAAAACCTCATTTAAAATCCAACTATCTATACATAATAACTGTTAATGAGTTATTGTATTTCGGTCTTACTGTTCTCTATCCCTAGATTATTTACATTGCTGTAATCATATTATAAAAGACAAGTAGTTTTTTTTTTTTTTTAAATACAAGTGTTCATCCTGCCTTTTCTTCTTTGCCTGACGTGGTATATACATCATTCTCGGAATAAACATGGTTTTTAATCACCACATAGTATTTCATTACATGGATATACTATAATTTACTTGACTATCTCAGTATGAATTTACTGGCTTTTCACTACTAAAAATGCAGTAATAATAAATCTTATTATATTTAAGCCTTGCTTTTCATGCTTGGTTTTAATTTTACAGGCTAAATTTCCAGGTGTGAAATTATAGGGTCAAAGTCAAACGCTATCAGGTTTATTAAAGTTCCAATATATTTCTCAGTTGGCTTCCAAAAAGATCACACTTCTTTCTGGGGCTGCAGATTGGGGGGATATCTGATACACTTCTTGATGGTGCTGAAGACACATTGAGGGAAATTCACGGGAGATGAGAAGTAATTTATTACCCCATTTTCCCGAAGGGCCCACAACAAAGAGATGAAGAGCAGGAGTGTGAGATTTAGAACCTGGCTCCTTGCAAGCCTTTTGCAGGTGGAAGAAGTCACATATGTTCTTGATAGGTAGACTGTTCAAATAAATAATCACTTAGACTGTAAAACTATATGCAGATCCTTACTCCCGTGAAAGTTATTTGTGAAGTCCCAGTCGCCCCAAGTCCCTGTGAAGGCCACCAACCCTGAGTCTGGCGAAGTCGCTGCCCAGTGAGAGGAGGTGCCACAACCAGCAAATGCAAAACCCCTTCCATGCTCACACTTAATGTTCAGACTTCACAGCTTTGTTTTTCTTTCTGTTTGTTGGTTTTTAACCATTCAGCAAGATGGTTTAGATCTGTTCTTAGCATATGTTTCCATACTTTCGACTTATTCTAAAGGGAAGCATTATTATATGATTTACAGATATTACCAAGTTGAACATGCATTTTCATGCTGTCCTAGGGTGGCAAACCCAATCTTACAAAAAAGACTGATATAAACATGCTTGTTCATGACAACACGAAACTGCACACTCTTCTGATTATATTGCAGGCATCAAGTTGGGGAGATGAAGCAGGGGAGTAGTGGCAATGAAGAAAGTCCACTTAAGGATTGAAGAGTTTCTAACCTTGAGGTTCCCCTTCTTACTTCGCATTTACACTTCAAAAAGAGGCACCCGATCAGGACCTTCATATGACCTAATACTACATGTTGAAGTTAAAAAGAAGAGCCAAAGGGAACTTCTTGTTCCTAAAAGTGACACCAGAGAACATGGAAAACATTGACCTGCCTCTCACATCAGAAATGCTCATTAGTCAGAAACTGAGAATATATAGTGGTGTGAAGATTTCTGGATGACTTAAACACGGGCCAGCAAATTTCCTGTGCTGGGCCAGATGAGTAAATATTTTAGGCT